CACGTTATCTCTTTTAAGGAAATGATTAAAAATAAGTGACAATTTAGTGGCATATTTATAATATAAAAGTGGCATATTTTTAATCTTCTCAAAAACCACTGGGCAAGAAAAGTTAAATCTTATGTGTAAGCTTCATTACATTGTGTTGATTCAATTTTTTACAAATCTTCATTGATTCCTGGTGTAGGGTGGGGCATAAAGGGCAATAAATTTGACATAGGAATATTTAGGAAAACACCTTTGAAATATCAAGTATAGCAAAGGTATGATAAGTGATATTAAAGCAACGCATCCTTAGATAGTTTAGATTCAAAACTCATGTAGGAATATAATGGGAAAGAGAACAATAGGTATAAAGTGATTCAGATTAAAATGTTGCGAATGGACCTCTTCTTTGAAAGGCATATTGTTCCACTCTTTAATATTTAAAGTAAATAGGAATTTAACATCTATATACAAGCAAAAAATAAAGCTTTAAAAACAAGGATTAAATATCATCGTGTTTCGTATATTGGAACCACTAAAAAACTAAGAGATAAAATTGTGGAGAACTAAATTTCAAGCAAATTTGCACTTGGATTGGCTTATTATAAAATCTTTTTTGAATTGTTACAATTTCAGATTTTTTAGTTTTTAATTCGCATTGAAATAAACATGTAGATATTTTGTGGACTCTTTTGTAAGCTGAGTGCAATTTTTTTAACTTTCGATTTTTTCCTCGACTAAATGAAAGATCCTAATTCAACACAGAAGCACTAATGCGTTATATTGGAGAATCATTTATTTATGGTTTGAATCAGGTATAAATATTTCATTTTTTCCTAGGTTTCCAAAACACTTGGATTGGTGTCACCGACATGTTAGAGGAAAACAAATTTGTCCGTGTGTCTGATGCAAATTCACCGACATTTGTTATTTGGTTTGATAAACAGCCTGATAATTATCAAGATATTAAAGATTGTGTGGAAATACATCAGAGCGGAAAATGGAATGACGCGCGGTGCAGAGATATAAGGTCAGTCATTTATAAAGTAGGCAGCAGATGAAATCAATTTGTGAACCATTTGAATTGAAGTTAAAATATGACTTCTGATATACAGCTTTTTCGAAATTTGCATTTTTGAAAAAAAGTATCTAAGTAAATTCTTTCTTGAAAATAAATGCTCTAACCAATCTATATCTTCTCTCTCTCTCTCTCTCTCTCTCTCTCTCTCTCTCTCTCTCTCTCTCTCCATCCACCCATCCATTCATCAAACAAACAAATCCAGTTTTCATTTCCAGTGTTTTACATAATACCCTAATAAAAGGGATGATAATAACCAATAGATCAAAAACTCACAGTATGCATAAATTACGTTGTTGCTCTCTCACTTAAACATATTAAGTTCTTTCATTTTTTTTTCCTTCATGCAATGCATTCATCCGACATTTTAAGTTTGATTTTCACTTTAAAATAAGACAATAGTTATTAAAATAATTGAACCTTTTATATTAGTTTTATATATTAATGTTATTGCTGCGCAGTTAGGTTAACGACTCCCGCATTAACATCAGCAATTCCGAGTTTCGGGACGTAATTATGACATCTGATTGAAGCAATAAAAGTGTTCCTTCGTTTATTTGCTTGATTTACGTCCCTTCGGATTTTTTCATTCATAATGAGACTGGAAATTTAGACCTGTATTCAACACTACACGGCCTTTGAGCACTGAGAGATCTTTTTCGTGCTAGCAGACCTAGAGAAATAAAATTGAATGAATAAATACACACTTTCTTTTTCATTCACAAGTACGTTTGTTTCCCAACATAAATCATGTGCATAATACTAAACGAATATAGAATGAAAAAAGTGCTTGATTTCGCTGTACAGACTGAGATGACGTCATTGACTTCTTTGACAAGAAGTTTCTTTGTTTAAGCTGATATTGTAGTTTGTAAATATAGAAATATATATGAAGCAAATATTATTTGACCAAGATAAAACATATTCTAGAATGATTTAATTCATATATTATATTCAAATTAACTTGAGAATATTTTTTAATAAAGCCTTATTAAGGCACACTTGTACAGTAACGTACTAGAATGATAGACAGGGCCCCTCTAAAATCTTAATAGTTCAACTACATCCGCTTCACTAAATATTCTGGGATTTCTTTAAGTGTGGTTATTATCCTGACTATTTTGAGAAATGCTGTAATCTGGTTGTGTGCAATTGCTTCATTGTGTAAGTTTGCATTGTTTCAATGCATATAACGTCTTTTTCAGGATTTCATAGAAGGAATGCAACATGTAACGTGAATCCCAAGGATGAGTAAATTGCCCCCAGCACTTTTCAGGTTAAGACATTTGTCAACAAAAAAAAAAAAAAAAAAAAAAAAAAAAAAAAACCTGAATGAAGTTCATAGCGAAAAGACATCCAACATAGTTAAACTTTGAAGATCTTTGAACCTTCATGAATATTTTCTAAGATAAGAAAATCACGTGACAAACAGATGATGTTAGTGAGGTTGTTTTGGTCAAACTCAGCAAAGACCAACCCAGCTATATATAAGTGTAGATAGCAGAATTCCATCTTTGCGGGTATGTGAAGGCTACACCAAGATATTCTACGTGCATATACAATATGGCCTTATAGTAAGCCACATAATTGAACTTTAGAAATAACGATTTCTTAAAGATCTATATTTAAAAATTTATTTCAGGTCCTAAAAATAAATAGAAACATACAAAAACATAATATAAACTAAATCTTGTCGTTTTTGGGTGGTATGCTTAGCCATGTATTTATATCAGGGTTAAACACCAAACCCGTGTGGTCGTAACTATTTATCAAATATTTGCCGATTGAAAATAAAAGATGACGAGAATTCATGTAAATAAATATATGAAATGGAAGTTTTAAAGCACATACCGTTATTAGTTTACGGATTACTCCATTTATCTGATTATAACAAAATGTTCATTTAATGGGGTGTTACCAGTCAAAAGGGAGAGCTTGGATATCTATAGCAGCTGATTTAGCTGATGATGTTTCCAGAGATCTTTGTTTTTTTTCTTCATTCTTTACATGTAAAATGTTTAATCAAATTTTAAACTTGATTTCGGTCCATTATTTTTTTATAGTTATACTATTATATCTAGCTTCTTGATCTTTCACCAGATTTGAATAAAAAATGCCATACAATGTATAAAACATTTAGATTTCTTAAAGATTATTTAAAAATAAAGTTTATTTAAAACAAAAGGAAAAAAAAAACATTCATGGATGCTTTGCTTCAGATGAAAAACAATGCACCCATACATAAAACATGTCATGAGGTAGCACAAAAAGGCTACTACTGTTGACTACAAGTAGACGTATTTGTCTGACTTTAATTAAGCATCTAAGGCTACTGATTAAGAAAACACAATAAAACACAACAAACCACAGTCTGTATTCATGATCTTGCTTCCCAGATAATAAAAACACATTTCTCCTTTGTAGCTTCTTTCCCCCAAATACGACACACCTTGCAAATTACGCTTGATTTTCACGCCCCCCTGAGGCAGTGGCTGGGATGCAGCAGTGTTAAGGCGTACTTCGAAGAAATCAACAGAATATAAACGTGCATAAATGCATACCTTTTTAAACTGAATTTATTTTTGTAAAGATACTATATTACCACATGAATTTAATAATTATGTATACCCCGCTCTGTACTGAATTTGGTTTGGTCACGTTATTTGACAGTCACGTGATAAATGCATATAATGTGTACTGTATGTAGGTCACAAACAAATTTCAATATCGCAAGGGCATACCCTAGTTAAAATTAAAAAATTAAGTAATAAATTGTTTCTACATAACTTGCAGTTTATGGAAAGTGCTGCTGCTTAAAACAGAATTCGCATTTATTCGTTTAAATTTCAAGTTATCTGGCTTATGTCGAAATATGTGTGACCTTTATCAAGTATTTGATGTATTTATTAAGTTATGCTCTCGATTTCAGGAAAGCAGCAGCACTTTTCAAGTTAAAGAATGTGTCTGTTATGTATACTCAAAAAGTGATCAAGATCTATTAAGTGTATGCCCTTGCGAAAAGGCGATATAATGAGGCACCTCGGCGTGAAACATGCACACCCTGTAGACAAAAACACGGTAGAATTATCTCAATACATTCTCTCGATAGTTGTTAAATAATGATACATAATGCACATAATGCACATAAGATGCGTCAAATTTTACCATGATGACGTCATGTTGACAAGTGCATTGCAATCAGTGACTTGTTTATATCTTGCTGTGTGGGATTTAACTGGCGACAAAAATGAATGCAGTGGTAAGGTTTGATGTAGTTCATTACTTTTATGCAGTTTAGAATCGGAAATTATTTCATTTTCTGTTATTGTGAGGAATTGCTATATTTGTGAGATGTCACAGTAAACATTTCCCGTATAAATTAGGCGCCGCCCCCTTTATGCAGCCTTAACAGAGCTGCAGATGTCATATTTCAATGATGCTGCTTTTATGACTAAACTTTTTCTAAGTGTATTTTTATAATTTTTTAAATAAATGCGACAGGGTTATCTAATATTTTTAATCCACGTAGAAAAGTGCAGCAGATCCCAAATGACATTTGAAATACCTGTCTTTCAAGGACATTGTATAAATAAATGCAAAGATAGAACTCTCAGAGTTCTTTTTCCATTAATAAATTTGATAAGAGAATTTTATTTCATTACTTTATCTTCATTACTTATCTTCTCTTTTCATATAAGAAATAATACCTAAATAAACATCACGTTTGCAAAGATAACTTAATGTTTTATAACTTTGGATAGGGTACAAGAGATATTTTGTTTTCGTCTAATCACACACATTTACAAAATTTATTGGTTTATTCCAATCTGTTCTGATGACTATTATCTGATTAAAAAAACATACTGAATGTATAAAATCTCATCTTCAGAAATAGACGATCATTTACTCGTTACTCGAATAAAAGAGTGTGTAGAGAATGAGGGTTATACTAGCTATACAGTTATTTTTCTGCATTTACAAAACATTTGGACAAGGAACATTTCCCGAAAACAATGCACTGGAGAAATCGGCATCGTTCCCGGTTACAACATCCAGCAAACAGTTCAGCGTTTTAAGGGAGATTTTAAATCAAGAGAGTTTAGTACGATTCTCAATGGTACAAAAAATCCAGACATTAGTGATGGATGTCGTTGAGAGTAGAAACCTTAGCAAGACTCTTGAAGGGAGGCTTAATGATGTTATTAAGGAATTAAGTGCTTTAAAAATAACCGACAATAAACTGAAGGAAGAGATTGCAAAGCTTAAACAAGAATTGAAGAGTGGAAATAAATTCATCAATGTGCCAAACTTTAAAAGCTTAAATGATTCAGAAGTATTATTTCTCAGGAGAAAAACTTCAGCTCTTGAAAAGGAAATTGAGGCTCCGATTTTAGATAATACGAACATTATGGAAGTATTGGTATATTTGCAGAACAAAGGTCCTAACAGTCTTAAGAATGAAACGTTCTCTTTGAGTGAAAAATATGATAAAATATCACAAGAAAATGAAAATTTTAAAAACCCAAATTTGATGCGCAGAAGAGATTTCTCTCATTTGGATAAACGTCTATTGCTAATGGAAAACGATATACGAAATCTTTCCTTATTTTTCAATGTAGCCGTGGAAAATACTCATAAAAATATTTCAGATATCCTGGAGCTAAGAGTATCTAACAACACATCAGGTAATACACAATTCATCTCTTCTTTGGAAATATGTGTTTGAATTACTTTATTCAGTATTTTTTTCCCCTGGAACCCACTACATAAAATTTTGTTATACTTAACAGCTCTGCAGAGATGAAGGCTCAAGTATTTTTTTCTGTGTTGTCTAAAGTCTGCCCTCTGTAAACTTTTCAAATTTTGGACACCTCAAGAACCAATGTGCCAATTTAAAAAAAAAAGCATCTTTGGGTAAAGGGGATGAAAGTTTGTTCAAATGAATAGCCACGCCCCTTTTCAAGAAGAGATACCACAGAATTAGTAATAGTTTAAAGGCATCTTTAAAATAGCTTTTCATCAAGAACCACTGTGGCAGAAAAGATGAAACTTATATGAAAGCTTTATTACAAAATGTAAGATTCTAGTTTGTTCAAGCCATTATCTCTAGGGTTAGGTTGAGCCAGTATACATGTAGGATCAAATTTTACAAAGGAAAATTTTAGGGAAAAAATTTCTCAAGAACAAAAAAGCCAAGATTAATCAAATTGATATGGAACCATCCTCAGGCAGTGTATATTTAAGTTTGTTCGTATCATGTCTCCTGGGACAGGGATGGACACAATGCGGAATCTAAGTTTTACATAAGAATATTTATGTAAAAATATTCAAAATCCTCTCAAGAAATGCGATCTAAGATTAGTAATATTGATATGGAAGGATCCTCAGGTAGTGCAGATTCAGGTTTGTTCAAACCGAGAGCCAAGGGTAGGACGGGGATCAAAGTTTTACATAGAGATATAATGGGAGTAAAATATTTCTAAAAACAACAGAGCCATGATTAGTCATACTATTTGGAAACATTATCAGGCGGTGTAAATTTAAGTTTGTTAAAGTAATGAACACCAGGATTGGTGTGGAAGCATGCTAAGGTAGTGTACATTCAAGTTTGTTTAAATTACGTCCTTAGGAGTAGGATGGGACCACAATAGCGAATCAATGAAAATACCTTTAAAAGATTTTTGTAATGAACAACTTACCCATATTAGTCATGTTAATAAGCAGTCTCCCCTAGTAAGTGTAGATTCGTGTTTGTTCAAATCATGGCCCCCGTGGGTAAGCTGGGATAACTTTCCTGAAGAACAGCAGGACCAATGTGACTCAGCACTTTTGACCAGTGGGCTTCTTGATATTTCTATGAAGACATACTTTACAAATCAGATACAGCTTGTTCTTGTAGAATCCCGAAAATTATTAAATGTAGTTAATTAAGCGTGACGTAAGAAGGTCCAATATCTTACAGACGGGTCACACACCTAAGCATTATTTTTAGGTCCGCTCAATAAGAACATTGGAAAACACAGTATTTTGCAATATAAATTCATTTAGGGAAAACTGTTACAAGAACAAATATGCTATTATACATATCAGAAATTCACGTAAAATTTTATAAGAAAATTTTATGCATGCAAGTTTTAATATTATTATTTCTGACATTTCTTTTTCTTATATCTTGGTATTACATACTCTGCAGTGATTTTGCAATGATTACTATATATGTTGAAATCTGGGTAAATGTATTGCGATAAATACACAGACAGACTGACAAAAATGATATGATCCCACAATATTCAGGTGTCTTTCCCTTATGGTACAGGATTGCTCTAAAAAATTTAAAAATCATCATAAATACCACTCATTTGAGTTACAGGTGTATCAGTTTACAACAAAAGCAATTAATTTACATTTTACAGTCAGATGGTCTTTTGAAATTTGTTTACTGATAAGTCACCTTTAATTGCTATATTCATAGCAAAATTTATGAATTACCTGCATGTAGCCATGCACGAGCATCGAATTAATATTAACCAGAGTTTATCAAGACCTGATTCTTGAAATGATTTAATTGCAAATAGAAAAAAAAAGTTTCACATTTTCCAATGTAGATATATTCATTCCAAAGAAAAAAAAACCATAAAAGAATCAATTGCGTATTTGTAGTGGATCAGTGATGGATCAATTTTTTATATGGACATTTATAGAGAAATGTATTAAAAGCTTCTCCAATAAAGATATGATAAAAAAAAATTAATATGGATAAGCCATAGCGACTCAGGTAAGCGTAGTGGCCTTTGAACCTCGTGGTCGAAAGATTTTTTGTCAAAAAAAAATTACCAATGATCTGCCACTTCCAAGAAAAAGCTAACAATATTCTACATGCATATATCACCGCATAGAACGTATTTCACTAGTTCTTAGTTTATTTATGTGAATAAAGGATATCATCACTTAAGAAATAAATAACAGTGTTACAACTTTCTCTGGAAAATGAACTTGGTTAGTCAAGGTATCAAATCCTGTGAACTCAAAGCCTGAAGCTTAGTAGATTTGAACACATATCAACCGCTTTCATTTCCCTGTGACCTTTTTAACTTTGTCATTTCTTACTTATATTCACATACCTATATTCACATTTGATTCAAATAGAAATATTAAACGAACGGACCGCATAGCTAAAATGGTGTGACACGCAGTTACCTATAATTCGAATTTTGGTCATGAAAGTTGCCTAGCTCCAACATTTGAATGTTTACATTCAATTTGGTATTTGGCAATCAGGATCAGGAAATCTTCGTTTATAATGACAGAACAATGATCATTATTGATAATAATCTCAGTATTTTATGATTTCTTTATTTATGTAAATTCAAAAGTGTTTCTGTTCATACCTTCAAGGGAATTTCGGGTAAAATGTAAGCGCAATTTAAACACTTTTATTCAATTCGTCTTCACTCTGAAGGAAGATCAAATGGACATCTGTTGATTGAAGAAAAATACCCCTACTTTTCAATTATTTTATCTTTTTCATCACTATGAAATAAAGTAAGAAATTCCCAGTTTCACTGTGACAGAAACGGCAGCATTTGAAGGCAAGATATCATAATCGCCGTGTGATTCGGTCATGCTATGACCTCTGACCCCATAATAACTTCAGAGAGAATTGAACATATTTTCTCTTCACAAAGTTCATCTAAGGAAAATATTTGCAAATGTAAATATAACGTAATATACTGAAACGCAAAGCAGTAATCTACAAATATTTGAATTTTTTATCTAAGGATTTTAAAAAATGAAAACAGTAAGGTAAAACTCGATTTATTAACATCAGAGATTTTATAAAAATGTTAAATTATAATCTTTTAACTTTAGAAAGTAACACATGAATGTTAAAACACCCCCCACCCCGGCCATTCAATTACAGCGTGCAAGACTGCCATGTACAACAGTTGCAGCTTGATTTCTACGATGCAGTAAGTTCATCAATCTCGAGATCTGAGCGGAAGAAATATTCTTTGCCATTTTTAAATGCCTGTTTTTCAGTTGATGAGGTCGAATTTTCTCTAGCCAAGCGCAGTGTAGTAACTCTTGGACTTCCGGTCCAAGGACTTTCATTCATGCTAGTGATTACGTAGGGGCCTGTTGAGGCGTGATATGTTGCATATTTGCATCTGCAACTCTCCATTACCTTTATTTTGATATTTTCCAGCTACAGCAATGGAAGCCTTTGCATCGCGTACGGAAAAGAAAGGAGAAATTATTTTTCGTAACATTGCTTCATTACTTATGATGAACAGATACAAATTCTTAAAACCCCATATTATTGCCAAATATTTTGTTAATCATGCAATTTTTGATTTCTGTTAAGCGGACTCAAACTTAACTTCCGGTAATGGTATGAAAATCATTCAACCGTTAAATTACAGATATTTACAAAGTTTAAGATGTCTTTACTTTTTAGATACAAAATTTTATCTTATATATATTATTTCCCCCTAAAATAGGATGTTGCGTTTCTTTTGCGTTTCAGTTTATATAAATCAAGACAACACAACATAATTACACGATAAATAACATTTTTGATGGTTTTATTTGACATTTCAAGTCCTGATTTATGGGACTATTGATATCACAGACGATAAAAACTTAATATTCAAATGATATTGTTTTTCTTTTTTACGACTTTGGAAATGTTATAAATGTTAAAATACATAGATTTTTTTTCAGTTTGTGAAAAGGGCTGGGTTTCCTTTAATGACCATTGCTATTTCTTTGCATCAACAAAAATGAATTTTCGTGATGCTCTCGTAAGTACTCAAGATCTTTTCATCAACAACACGTTTTCTCATAGTCTATCTCTTTGGCTTCATTCCTAATATAAATTGTTTTTGAATATAAATCTAGGAATGCTTTCTTTACACAAATTACCCACACTGATAGATTTGTATTTAAGAAAAAATGATGGCACTTCACATTTTTTTTATTCTGAGGTAAGAGTGCATTTAGATTTTTCTTATCCACTCTGACTGCCTGTATCAAAAATATATAAAAATCTTTCTCTACATAGCTGTAGTTTACTTTGCAATTGAAAACAATTCAATGTACATTCTGGATAGGACTTATATCATACACACAATACAACATATATCATACAACACAGGTATTGTTTACTCTTGAGATTGTACAGATTTGTAGATGAGATGAACCTTTCATTATGTGGAAGGACCAACCGGTCAGTGAAAATATATGCACGTACATGTTAGCCATCAAGAGCTTATTGAACAAGATGTGTTTTTGAAACACTGATGCCCCCGTATGGCAGCTCATGGCAAAGTTTTAAGTTTCTCACATGCAAGTCAAGCTTCCAAGGTCAAGGTAAACAAATCAAAATTGTTCGTACCCAAGGAAGCTCTAGTCGCAAGGAAAATACATGTGAATTATGAAAGCCCTAGCACTAAGTTTTCAAAAGTAATGGCCAAAGTTCAATTTCTCAAAAGTAAGTCAAACTCAAAGGAAAAGGTCAAAGGATCAGAATTGTTGTCAGAATTGTTGACTCATTGAGTCAAATGCTGACTGACGTTTTTCATTCTAATTGTTAGGCCATTATTTACACACTGAATTGTCGACGGATTATTCCGTTATTTCCCGATCATGACAAGGGGCACACGGCGGGTGTGACCGGTCGGCAGGGGATGCTCACTCCTCCATGGCACCTGATACCACCTCTGATGATTGGAGGTCCCTGTTTGCTCTGCTCCTATTTTGTATTGTTTAATGGACTTTTGAGCTTGAATACTGTTCGTCATCTCCATGTATTTCATTGTTACCCAAGGGAAGGACATGTCACAAGGAATGACCTGTGAAATACGAAAGCCTTAGCTCCAGCTGTTCAAAAGTTATATCCAAGGTTAAAGTTTTTGAGAAGTAGGTCAAACTCAATGGTCAAAATCAAAGTGTCAAAATATTTGGTATCCGAGGAAAGATCTTGTCAAAAGGAATAAATATGTAAAATATGAAGGCCGTAGTACCACACGTTCAAAAGTTATGGCCAAGGTTTAAAATTTTGAGAAGTAGGTCAAATTTAAATGTCAACATCAAAGGATCAAAATTGTTTGTACCCAAGGGACGGCCTTGTCGCAAGGTATACACATGTAAAATATGAGAAGTTTGGCGCCAACTGTTCAAAAAGTATGGCCAAGGTTTAAGTTTTCCAAACGTAAGTCAGAGTCCAGGGTCAAGGCCAAAGGGTCAAAGTTGTTGGTATCCAAAGAAAGGTCTTTTCACATGAATTACATATATGAAGTATGAAAGCCCTAACACCAAATTTTCAAAAGTTATGGCCAAGGTTAAAGTTTGGTAATTTTTTTTTCCAAAATCTGTTCAACCTCCAAGATCAAGGTCAAAAGGTCAAATATAATGGTACCCAAACAAAGGTCTTGTCAGAAAGAATGTACATGTGAAATATAAAAGCCAAAGTTCCAACCAATCCAAAGTTATGGACACTGTTAAAGTTTTTGCGGACAAACCGACAGACAGACAGACGGACAGGGCACACACTATCTACCCCCGAATCTTCGATACGGGGCATAAAAATAATGGGTAGGCTTGAATAAAAAGAATTATAACTAAGCTGAAATTCCATTTTGTTATCTGATATAAATCTTGTATTGGCTACATATATTGTCTCAATTTTAAAGGAATTTTGTTCCAATGTTGCCCCCGGTGCAATTCTTCTTGAAATTCAAAGTTCAGAGGAAGAGAGATGGATCAATATACAAACTCAGTTACGAGGTACATACATTTAACAATTACCAAATATATTTTTCTAAAATTTCCTATTGGGTAAGTTCATTCAATCTTCAGAGCAAGACAAAGAAGGTATACCGTTCTTTTCAAAGGTTTAGAAGATATTTCTAGTCACATCAGACAAAGTTTAGTTTGTGGTTAATTAAGAATACTTAAGACATTTGGAGAATTAAAAAAAAGAAAGGAAAGACATCTGCCGGTTTTGCGTATGGGAATATGTTTGTTCTTGTACAATTAGTCGTTCGATTATAAGTTAAAGAACATTGCGGGAAGTACAGTAAAAAGAAAACGGGAAAAAGTGAAATTGAAATAAAAAAAAAATACGTATGAAATTGGAAAAGAATGATATAGCTTACTTTTAATTACTTCCAAATTTAAATCGATCTTGTTTTCTTTAATCGCCATTTTTATTTATGTATAAATTTATTTATTTATTTCAGTATTTATTGGAACTGTTTGCTTTTCCAATGAATTTTTAATTTTGTTTCTTAACTCTATTGAACGATACTATACATATCGCGCTTCTGGGGAATGAATTACTTGGTTTGAAATGATAACAAATGTTTGATGTTTCTATAGGTTTCCAACATACTTGGATTGGTGTCACAGATATCTCTGAAGAAAACGAATTTGTCTCTGTGTCTGATGCAAGAGCACCGACATATGTGAATTGGTTAGATAGACAACCTGATAACCATGCAAAGGAAGACTGTGTGGAAATATTCCCTGGCGGAAAATGGAATGACCGTGATTGCAGTGCTACAATTTCGTTCATTTGTAAGCTTGGAAAGAAATGATTTTAATGTGGAGTTAAATAAAAACGATCGAAATGTTCTTAGAACAGGACTTGTCCAATTTTCAGCTTTTCAAGAATTTTTATCGTATAAGCAGAAACATTCTTAAGCAAGGTATGTCTGGAAAATAAAGAGTCGAGCTTGTATAAATTAAGATTTACTCTTCTAACATTTTAAAGCCTCTGGTTGTGTTAAATGAATAATTGGAATGTAATAATTCAGTGAAAACACACAGCTAAAACAACAGACAAAGACGAGAAAAAAATGTCCTAGGGTCGATTTCAGACTCTCTTGTTTGGTTCTATATTCATTATAACATTATAATTAATTGAAACGCTTTTCCCCGTCCTTAACAGTTATTATTGAATAAATCATTTTCTTGGCATACATTTTGAAATCATATAAAAGCATTCTGAATAGGAATTCATTGATAATATTTCAAAGAAGAGGTAAAGATCACATAAACTATCAATATCTGGAAGACTGTATGTAATTTGGATGCTTCTGGTGTGTCTGTTATGGAAAAGAACTGTTTCCTTTTTTTTAATTATTTTTCATCTTTATTTTCTAGACATATCTTGTTCAAAAATGCTTCTGACTATGCATACGTATTTTAGTGGTGTCTAATGATTCGAAGTCAAAATAGCAATGCTAGTCATCAACGTTTTCAATTTGTGAATATTTTTTTTCTTTACATCTGTCATAGGTTATACTTTGCAAAACAAATTATAGAAGATTTATTCACTATTAATTCACTATTATTCGCACATTATTTCAACCATTGAGACAAAAGAGAAAATATATTTGACGAACTTCATCTTTAAAACCAAATTTTTTAGACAAGTTATCTGGGAAGGAGTTCTGTGTCGGTTAAACTGAATACAATAACAAGGAAAGTTGATACAAAATGAAAAACTACTACAATTTACCAGTATATGGTAAAATAAAAACCGACCTACCCTTTATCTTTTATACACAATTTTTGCAATTTACCTAAACTTATCTTACATTTTGAGCTTGATATCTGTTCGTTATCTCTTAAATTCAATCTATTGCATCTTGCTCCTTGCTCTTTCAAATTAAATCTATTACATCTTGCCTTGTTCCTTGCTCTTTAAAATTCAACCTATAACATCTTGCTCCTTTCTCTTTTAAATTCAATTTATTAAATCTTGCCCTGATCCTTGCTTTTTTAAATTCAATCTATTACATCTTGCCCTGCCCCTTGCTCTTTAAAATTCAGTCCATTACATCTTGCTTTGCTCCTTGCTCTTTTATATTCAATTTATTACATTTTGTCTTGCTCCTTGCTCTTTTAAATTCAATCTATTACATCTTGCCTTGTTCCTTGCTCTTTTAAATTCAATCTATTACATCTTGCCCTGCTCCTTGCTCTTTTTAATTCAATCTGTTACATATTGTTTCTTGCTATTTTAAGTTCAATCTATTGCATCTTACCTTGCTCTTTGCTCTTTTAAATTCAATCTATTACATCTTGCCTTGCTCTTTTAAATTCAGTCGATTACGTCTTGCTTTGCTTCTTGTTCTTTTAAATTCAATCATTTACATCTTGCTCTTTGCTCTTTTAAATTCAATCTATTGCATCTTGCTCCTTGCTCTTTCACGAGATTTAAAATAAAAGAAAAATACTGTACAATGTTTAATACATCTAGACTTCTTAAAAATTATCTTAAAAATGTTGCATGCATTGCTTCAGATGAAGGACAATACATCCGTATATAAAACATAATGTCGTGAAATAGCTCAAAAATTCTACAGCTGTTGACCACAAGCAGATTTTACGTCTGTCTTGATTTAAGCGTCAAAGGTTATTGATTAAGAAAGCACAATTATTCACAACAAACCAGAGTCTCAATATATGATGTTGCTTTTCCGACGATAAAAATAAATTTGGCTATACAGATTTTTTTCTCAAAATACGACACATCTTACAGATAACGCTTGATTTTCATTTCCATCTGAGGCAGTGGTTGGGAATATACCAAAATGTAGTCCTGTACATTGATGTCATTATGTCAATGATGCTGCTTTTGTGCCTATACTTTTTTTTTAATTGTACATTTATGAATTTTTTTAAAAAAAATGCGATAGGGTTATTTAATATTTTTAATAGCGGTAGAAAAGTGCAGGGGAATCTGAACAACATTTGAAATAGCTATCTTTCAAGGACATTATATGAATAAATGTAAGATATAACTTTCAGAGATATCTCTTTCATTTAATATATATGATAAGAGAATTGCATGACTTATCTTTTTTTTTTTCATATCAGAAATAACATGCAAATAAACATCATGTTTGCAAGATAACTTAATGTGTTTTAACTTGGGATGAGGTAAAAAAAAAATTTTGTTCTAGTCTTATCACACGCATTTAAAAAAGGTGACTGGTTTGAGAAGTCTAATCACTCTCAATAACATATTTACGAAACAATTTGGATGATTCTTATCTGATAAAAAAGCAACCTTACTGAATATATAAATTCTCATCTTCAGAAATAGACGCTCATTTATTCATTTCTCAAACAAATGCGTTTGTAGAGAATGAGGGTTATATTAGCAATTCAGTTATTTTTCTCTATTTACAAAACATTTGGACAAGGAACATTTCCCGAAAATGATGCGCTGGAAAAATCGGCATTGTTTCCAAGTACAACATCCAGCAAACAGTTCAGTGTTTTAAGGGAGATCTTAAATCAAGAGAGTTTAGTACGATTCTCAATGGTACAGAAAATCCAGACTTTGGTGATGGATGCCATTGAGAGTAGAAACCTTAGCAAGACTCTTGAAGGAAGGCTTAGTGATGTTAGTAAGGAATTGGAAGCTTTGAAAATAAACGACGAAAGGCTGAAGGAAGAAATTGTAAAGCTTAAGAAAGAAATGAATGCTGAATATATGAGTGGTAATAAAATCATCGATGATTCGAACTTTCAAAGCTATAATGATTCAGAAATACTATTTTTGAAGGGAAAAACTTCAGCTCTTCAGAAGAAAATTAAAGTGCTATCTTTGGAGAATGCAGATATTAAAGAACAGCTGGTGGTTTTGAAAAACAAAGAACTAGAGAGTCTAAGGAATGAAACGTTTACTCTTTATCAGAAATACGATGAAAGAGTAGTGTATGAAAGAAAGACCTCTTATTTAAGCAATCGTCTATTTTTGATTGAAAACGATATACAGAATCTTTCGGTATCATTCAATGAAGCAATAGAAAATATTCGTCAAAATACTGCAGATGTCCAAGAGTTGAAGGAATCTAAGAATTTAACAGGTGAATGGATAATTACAGTTTCTTTTCAAAGGCAATCCATTAACATGGGTATATATGAAAATTATTGATCGGAGTGTTATATCGTTAAAGGTGACATTTATTTTTGTATCATTAAAAATTGCGATATTTATTGTTTATAGTGTATGGCATAATTCTCTAATTCAAAATACACATAGCTATTTATCCATGAATGATAGCATCATAATTATCTCTGATCGTACGTATGCCCAATAACAAATTTCTTGACTGTCAATTAAACTCTTGTGCTAAGGCCTTCCATGCGTTTTGCTTTATTTTATAAAATAGGTTTTGTCGAGTTATTGATTCTATTTTGTTGAAATTTGACCAGAACAGTTATAAATTATATCATTAATTTCCGTTCTTGCATAGAATTGCAGGAATTATTATCTATTATTTATTTCCTTGGCTAATTAAACTCAATCATCTCAAGCATGACCAGTTTAAAGAAAAAAGTTCATTGTAAAATAGAAAGTAAATTAAATGATAACAATATTGATCTCAGCATTAATTCATTTTTTTTGGAAGGAGCAAATAGCCGAAGCTGCAAACAACGTAGGCTTTTAAATGTCACTTAATTGCCATCGCTACTCAGAAGTCGATTACATGTAGCATGCAAGTTTAAGTCCTATATGACCCAGCAATCAAAAAGTTTTGAATTTCAACCATTCAGATTAAGTTCAAGAAAGTAGAAAGCAAATTAGATCAAAATATTCAAGGCACCAACGCTCATCTCAAGATACACTAGAAAAAATTGCTAACGCATCACTGAATATTCTCACATGTAAACGAAATGGCGCGAGTAAATCTAATATGTCATATCCAATTTAGTCAAATTTGCCATTTATTGGTGACAAAACGAGACACTAAATTGGCCGTCTTGCCCAAACCCAAATTTTCTGAAACTGATTGCACACTATTTTAGCACTGATATGATGTTGGATATGTCCGATCAGTGAGGTTGCAACAGCAGTGGTATCACTTTTCTCAAATGATTAAGAGTACAATGTAAAACATAGACATCACCGATTGTTTGGGCATCTGTATCGGCTCCACCACATTTCCAGATGCAACAGATTTGTGGTGCATGTACAATCTTGCACTAGTCGTCTGGTGTAATTTGAATACCGTGGTCACGTTTAGAAGACATCTTTTAGCTTGTTAATCTTGTCGCATTTGTTTCTGGAAAAAACAAAAATCATCGACTTGTTTCTAATATTTTTTTTAAAAAACATTAAAAAGAACACCCTGCAGAAATCCTACTAACTTCACAACCACCTGCCTACATGGTTAAACACCTCATGCAATATCAGCTTTTTCTTGATTTTTTTTCTTCTTTTTTTTTCTCTTTTGTTTGTTTGTTTAATGAATGCAAACACAGGGAAGACTGTTCACGAGAGAAAAAAAGAGACTTATTTTTAAAAAGTATGAGCAGGAATTTCAGGCATTTTCATAATATAGTTACGCTTCATGGGACACTTTATTCATGAATCTGTTTTGGCATTTTAATGAGTTACTTTTAGCCATGTTACACATTCTTGAATTAAACTCTTCATAAACTAGTTATTTTGTCTAGTGTATATGCATTCCTTGAAAAGTACAAATGATTAATTTTTAATAACAAGGTTATTTAAATTTGAAATAAAGTAAGGTTCTTTGATACTCTGATAAGAGAGATAACTCTCACTGGTGAAAATGTATATAATTCCTATCTAAAATTGTCAAATTAAAAGGTCAAATCTATCAAATTTTACCCCGCAAGGTATACTCAAATTGTATGCCTTTTAGTTATGAATTAAGTTTCATTTGAAATATCATGATCGTTAGGGCAAACTTTAATACCTATGAGCATAAGGACAGTAAATCTGCACGAAATGCGAACAGAAACATAGTTTTACTCCTAGGACAGTACACGACAACCCTACAAACAAAGATAACCTGTTAATTTGACACGACATATCAATCTCCAAAAAGAAAATTATTTTTGAAAATGCTAAAAATGCTTTTGAATCTTAATTTCTAATATAGAATATATATAAAATTTGAATATTAATGTAAGGTTATCTTTAAAAAAAAATGTTTGGTTGCCCTATTGAGCTCCCGACCGACGGACAAAAAACGGCCGCACTCAAAACTTTTTTTTTGACTTTCAGGAAACTATTACCTTTTTATTCATTAATAAATACTTTAACTTCGAATTCACGTTTGCAAGTGTTTTTGAATAAAAGAAATTTTTGTGCATTCCTACCTACCCAATTTTTTTATCCTCAGTCCGGAAAGGGCAAGCAAACATATTTTTTTTAAAGATGGCCTAGAATATGTTATATATATATATATATATATATATATATATATATATATATATATATATATATATATATATATATATATATATATATATATATATATATATATATATATATACTTGTAAGAATGTTTTTTTCAACTTTGAAAACATTGCAGACAAATGTTATTATACCTTATCAGATAAGTTTCCTTTGCAGACTGTGAAAAAGGCTGGGTTTCCTACAGAGATTCCTGTTATTTCTTTTCTTCAATAAAAATGAACTTTCATGATGCTGCTGTAAGTATCTCAATATTATTAACCCCATTTTCGTTTTTATATCTTATCCACTTCATTTAAATTGGAACATATTCTTTTAATTCACGAACATGAAACTTAGTCTTCCTCCAAGACTCTAGGTGGGAGAAGAATTTTAGTTCTTAGATTTTGATTGATCAATCTATGTCTTTCCTTAGACGTGGGACAAAATAACCATTATCATACCACATCAGACAATATTTCAGACTTAATTTAACAATCAAGGAGGAAACTTATTGATTTAAATTTTGATTCACCCCGAGATACTGCTATTACTTTGTTTTCTAGACAACAATATGATTTTACTTTGGGCTTGAAAAAAAAATATCTTTAATTCTTCTGAGCAAGGGATTTTCATCACATAACACATATGCATGTACAGTTTATAAAGTATTCTTTAGTTAGTAAGAATTAAAGAATTTAAGAACTACCTGCGGATGTTTGCATATTAATATGACTAAGCATGGAGCTGTTTTTTTAAATATTTACATATACATGTATATTTCCACCCTACCCCCAGGAGGACTATGATTTGAACAATTTAGACTGCACTACTGAGAATGTTTGCATATTATATTATAATATATTATATTAATTATAAACCTGCTGTTGTTCTGAGGAAGATTTTTGAAGACTTTGTATAATAAATCTCCATGTTAAACTTTCATGTCCTACTGTAACCCTAGTCTACCCTCTAAGTCCTGATTTGAAAAAACAAATGAAATGCACTACGTACTGGCTTGCATAACGCAATAAATAAGGTAATTTCCCTACTGTTCTCCGGGAGAAAATATTTAGAAACCATTTCCGTTATAATCTAATGTAAAAAAGCATCTCCTATTGCATCCTATACCCGGCGGCAAACATGAATATACACTATCTGAAGATACATGCCTATTGAAAAGTTTAGATTCTTTTAGATTCTATAATTTCCCACGTTAAACTTTTATTCTTTTTGTGACCTCATCCTACCTCCTCCGAGGCGATGATTTAAAAAGATTTGAATCTTCACTTGAATTTGCTCTATTTCAGAAATCGTTAACAAAAGTTAGATTTTTATGAAATTTTTAAAAGAACACTGATAAATGATCCCAATCTATAGTTGTCTGTCCTTGATTATCGACAATTTGGAAGTGGTCGAGGCCCTTTTCTGAGCAAATCAGAATAACCATCATCAATGAATGCTTCGTGTAAAGTTTGGTTGAAATAGACACAGTGGTATTGTAGAAGTCGAAAATGTTTCAATTGTTAGCCGAAAGACGGACGAACAAACAGATGACAGACAGCAGAGGATCAGAAAAGTTCACTTAAACCTCTTATTCAATACCTATCTTCTAAGAAAATAGAATTGTAAAGTAAAGTACACCATACATTATCTCCTTAGTCATACAGTTTCAAATTTATTTCTGATACAAATACATTAATACTTTCAATTTGGTAGACATATTGTACCAATGCTTTATCTGGTGCATCACTTCTGGAAGATCAAAGTCCAGAGGAAGAAATATGGATCTTTATACAGTTTCGCTCACGAGGTATGTAACAATTGTCAAATATGAAGTCTAAGTGTATGTCTCACAGTAAACGTTATTTGACTTTTAAAGCACACCAAAGGACCACTTGTGTTTTCAAATTTCTTTTTATTTTAATTTAACTTATCAGTTTCTCTAAATGATATTAATATACACAAGATATTTTTGTATAACCAAAGCTAGCCATCTTGCCTGTTGCATGTATGAAAAGTATTTTCCCCGCAGAAAAACAACCACGAAAAAATAAGCTGAAAAACATAGGAAAAGTCAATTGAAATTAAGAAAAAAATAAGGGTCAATGATGTTTTCCTTGATGCTATTTTTTTTTTATTTTTATTTTTATTTTATTTTTTTTTTTTTTTATTTTTTTTTTTTTTTGGTTTTTTTTTTTGGTTTTTTTTTTTTTTTGTTTTGAACATATTTTATTGTCAATATGTCAAAGGGATTGGACACAACCTCTAAAAATTAGATAGTCCTCTCCCAATTACATTTTTTTCTTTGATAGCCATCTGAAGAATTATTTGCACGGTTTGATATTTCCATAGGTCTACAAACTACTTGGCTTGGTATCACTGATATTTTTGAGGAAAAGAAGTTCGTGCGTATGTCCGATGCAAAAGAATTAACACATTTCAACTGGTCTAAAGGGCAGCCTGATAATTATGAAAATAATGAACATTGTGTGGAAATACTTCCTGACGGAAAATGGAATGACCTCAACTGTAGCAGAAGAATTGGGTTCATTTGTAAGCTACACCGCAATTAAAATAAATCAGAGCCAAACAAAATAGTCCAAATGTCTCTAAAAATACGACTCGTCCAATGTACATCTTTCACAAAATATCCAATTTATAAATTAGATGTATTTATATGCCTCGAAATAAAGGAAATATATTTACTCGCACACCTTATGATATGTCGATTTTTTATATTAGGGATGTTTGTCCACTCGATTGTTCTTTAAATGGCCAGGGATTCCAGTAATGTGAGGATATTTAATTATAAGAATACTTGAAACTACTACCATATACATATTCATGTACCTGTGTATGATTTTTAAAAGTCAAAACCCATGATTTATGTAAAATTAGCCAAATGGAGAGAGCGTATAGAAAATGTCTTTGTCGTCCTCGCATCATCGTAGTAGATCAATATTCCTCCCCCCCCCCCCCGAAAAAAAAAAACAAAAAAAAACTGAACAGTACGCATATGATTTAATGCTATGTATAGGCGTATCTATTTAAATGGGCTAAATAAAGTTTATCGATTATGCAGAGAAAGTTTAAACTCACTTTTAATATATGCTTAACGCCTACGACAGACGTAGCCATAACATAATGACATTATTGTTCTCTTAAAAAAAAGATATGCCCTTGCGCCAAAGCTGTTGTGTTGCATTATTTCATTTATTATTTATCATTCAATTATTTCGTTACCCCCCGTTCACACAGAGCTGCGACTTTACGACGATCATCCCGATCAAGCCAGGATCTGAAAAAGTTTTGGATCGGGGCGGATCGGAGCCGATCGGCGTCTAAATCGAGCAATTTGGCAAATTATGGTCTTCATTACTACCGTACTACGATGCCCCTACGTCAATCGCGCTGCTAACACGCTTCTACTACGATGTTACGTAAACCGTTGCCGACCAGCGGCCGCGTTTACTGCGTTTACGCTACGCTGCCGCTACGACATTCAAGATCATACTACGACGCTACGCAGACCTAGGTGACTGTACGACGATATTGCTACGGTGGTGCCGATCATATTACGATTCTATTACGTTTCTAGTACGATTTTGGCGATGATGTATATATATCTTTGTTTTGAAACATATTTTTCTCTTCTGTCCAAACTTTACCACGGGGTTTACGGGGCATTTTCAATTGTAACTGTAACAAGATGTGAAAGTTCGAAGTCTCAACTGCAAATGATAGTCAAGTATAGTGTCACCCTTTACGTGTAGTTGACAGATGATGCTTGGTCAAATATCAGCGCTATAAAAACAAACTGCCGCCTGATAGGTCGTGGTATGATCGGCGTAAGGTCATTATAGGTCTTCGTAGGATCGTCAGGAACGTAGAGAGATCGTAGTGGGAACGTAGTAAGAACGTAGTGGGAGCGTTGTAGGAGCGTATACTTGATAAGTTCCCGACTGTACTACGCTTTTACTGCGTTTTTACCACGATCACGAAGATCTCTCCATGATGCTTCAGCGCTGCTTGTACGATTACGGCGCTTCTACTACGCTCTTTTTACGACTTTACCCCGATTCTTGTTTGCCACGATCCCGCTACGCTTGTTTTGAGCATGTTCAAAATAAGCGTGGCGAGAGCGTAGAGCTCTCCGATCATGAAGACCCTACCGCGATCATACTGCGCTTATAAAGACTCCACTTCGTTTCTCCTGCGATTTGTCACGATCGGCCACGTTTTCGGCCACGCTTTGATCGTAGTAGAAGCGGCGTCTATGTGTGAACGGGGGCTTAGGTAAAAAAGGACTCATTTCCGTAGAATGCCCATTTCAGGCCTTAACTCACTTAAGGGATAAAATTATTTTTCTTACAGTGTACTTCTTTGCTGACAGATTTTTAACAAAAGCATGATACCACATTCCCTATGTCAAGCATAAAATAGGTTATATTTGATCGTTTGTTTCAAATGTTCAGAAATTACAGATAATTATCTATTACATGCAACAATGTTTGTATTTCAGACATAACACTACCATATTAAAGAGAAACTCATTAGGCATAAATTCAAATGTTTAGTTCTTATGTCATCAACGACAAGATAATGCAAGGAATTTATGCCTCATGCTTAAGGAAAAAATACGAGGGTGGAGGTCCTAAGAATGAAATGCATTGACACTGAATTTTCACCTTTTGGTCTTAAGATCTACAGGGGTCTTTCTTCATTTACTGAAACTCATTCCATTAAGGTATGTCATTCGTCAGCTTTTGAGAAAAGTTTAATCAGAACGTCTACGTTCAAAGTTATTTATTACAATTCGATTTTGATAACATACTTGAATTAAACAAAGCAAATTATAAAATATTGAATTTAATAACTGCTCACAAAATTGAAGAGAAACAAGATTTATGGGGGACTATTTCTAGGGGGGGGGATATTTAGAAGAAAATTCTTCACAATTACACAATTTGTTTGATTTAACACCTTGGAACTTTAGCCCTACATATTTTTACCCGGAGAATTTTTTTATTATATGCAAGGAATATTAAATATAGGCTTCAATTAATATTTTTAAAACAAATTTTTAGATTCACTCAACAAACTTTGTCAAAAAATGAAGAAATATGTTTGAAGTAGAGATAAAATTTACATTATTTTTCGTCTGAAAATCGTATATTTTGAACAATATCTCAAAAGTTACATTACTGACCGCAACTTTTTCTTTCACTATTTTAAATCGCACGATACATTTAACCGTTTCACAAGTAAGTCATAAAAAGCTTGATACAAGAAAATTTTTTATTGCCTATCTGGATTTTTAATACCCCTGATATGATATTTTTTCAGTGCAGAAAGATCAAAAATACGTTACGCGCATTAATTTGCAATTTTTTTCAATAGTAAATATTATAAAATCCTTGATATAACTCATTTTGCCAGTGGCATACCTTAAGTTTCATTGTGTAAGCTTTAAGAAAACCCAAGTTATTATCTGTAAAGTACTTTTCGCAGCACATTGATTTCTGACCTTGACAATTTTACCTTTTGACCTCAAAATCAATGAAGTTTTTTTTTTTACTGCATTAGGAATTCGATATAGGAAAGGTCAAAGGAAACTAAAATTATCATATAGAAATCCTGATCTTGGCCATTGACCTTCTGACCTCAAACTCAAGACGGTCTTCTTAAGTTCATAGGAATTTATATTCCGTTTACATTAATTAAAGTTGATTCTTTTTGTCCCTATCTCTTTAATTGTTTTACCATAAAACTGCTGTGAAATTAAGAAGTGTTGGTGAATTTCCTCTCTGAGAAACAGTAGAGACATCTTTAATAATAAAATAGTTTTTGTATTTACTTCAATTCAGGTACGAGAATAATTGCAAAATAATTTGTTCAACTAGCAAGTTTGAGTAAAATGCAGACAGATTGGTGATCAATTCCCATAATCCTTGGTATTATCACCATAACAAGTCGCCAACAAGCTTCTTTCTCTCAGTTTCAAACTTGCAAATTTTAGAAGATTTCACAAAACAAGAATAAATACGGTTGCTAAATTGCTACAAATTGTAAATTGACATACATTTGTAAGTGCTATCAGTATATGGAAGAATGAAATTTGTGCTACCCTGTGTTGTACTAGTTAAAAGATATTATTATATTGTATTTTTTGAATAAGATTTCCTATTATATCATAAACGTAATAAGTTTGACTATAAACCCCGAAGAATGCTGAATCACATCGGAAACAGTTATGTCAAATGCCTGAAACAGTTATATCACCCGACGAAAACAGTTATAACACCCTCTCAATAACTTTCATTTGTTTTTGTGTCACGCATTTGTAGCTCAGGTTCATGATTTAATGACTTCGGTTGCTAATCAAACGTTAACAGCGAAGCGTAATTCTTAACGTTATGAAAGCAATTTTGGATAATTTGCCTAAACTTAAATAATTTTAGACGATTTTCTAATTTTAAAAATGTTATATAACATATACCATATGGCCTCTCGGTTGACTATACCAGAATGTTTGCCCATGGGTGACAGAAAAGACCTGGAGTGTTGTACTTAAGGACCAAGGAATCGTCATATTCGTCCTCTGAAATCATTCTGTGTACTGCAGTGCTAGTTAGACTACTTATAGATCCATATTAGGTTATATATTTAGTATACTGATAGAAAAGCATTGTTGAAAGTAGATAGACTTTCCTGCATGGTCAAAGGAATGATCCATCTACAACTTAACTGCTATGTCCGTGTGGGGATGGGGTGGGGGGTGGGGGTAACATCATCCATCGCTGAAGCCAGTACATTGATAAATTTTGACATTTCACTCAAGTGTAATAAGTTTTTTTTTTCTTGTTTTTAACAAAATGTTTTCCTTATACGCATTTATTTGATAACACAGAACTTTCACTATTAGAAGTTTCGATAAATTTACATCTTGAAGCGAGGTGGAGGGATTATGTCGAAACCGGAAGTGCTTTTGATAAAGCACATACTCGTGGATAAAGCATAGGTTTATCTTATGGGTAGTAGCCACCACCGTATGAGATAAACGTATAATACAGTTTATTTATATTCCCTATATAGTCTACGCGTAGGCAAACGATTTTTAACAACAAATGTTCAATAATAAATTTGAAGCCGTTTTCACCGGAGGGTCAGTGCGCGTGCAGCAGTAATTGTGACGTCACCAACGACATCTCAAATAACGTTGCAAACAATCACATACACAGCCGGAGCAATCCGTGTATCTTATCAGGAAAAACGTTTGTCAAAGCTATCGTCGGATTTTTATCCGAACGTTTCGAGGGAAAATCATGTCTTACACACTACGAAAGAAAACATGGAAGAAGTAACTTGTAATCTGCACAGCACTTTTAAAGCGTACTATGAAGAAATCAACAGAATATAGACGTGCAAAATAGAAACCTATTTAAACTGAATTTATATTTATAAAACTATCATATAATCACTTGACTTTGAATATTAAATGTAATTTAGATAACGTAGTATACCCCACCCTATTGAATTTAGTTTCGGCACCGTATTTGGCAGTCATGTGATAAATGCATATAATGTGTACTGCATGGAAGTCAGAAACTAATTTCAATATCGCTAAGGCATACCCTAGTTGAAATTAAAAATTTTGTGAGAAATTTTTTCTACATACCTTGTAGTTTCTGGAAATTGCTGCTGCTTTAAAAAGAACTTTCAATTTCAAGTTATTGGACTCAAGTTGAAATATGTCTGACCTTTACCATGTATTTTATGGATTTAATAAGTATTACTCCTGATTCCAGGAAAGCGGTCAGCACTTTTCAAGTTATGGAATATTTCCCTAATTCCTTTAAAAAAAATTGTCAAGATCTATTAAGTGTACGCCCTTGCGAAAAGGCGATTTAATGAGGCACCTCGATGTAAAACATGCCAACCCTGTAAACAAAAACATAGAAAAATTAATTCAATACATTCTCTCGACAACTATTAAATAATGTTACTAAACAAAGGTTTGAAATTGGAATTAATGAGATCTATCTAACATCTGACTGTGGAAAAAAAAATTCATCCGTCTCTCACTGCACCAAAATGCGTCAAATTTTTTCCATGATGACGTCATATCGACAAGTGCTTTGCGATCATTGACCTGTTAATAGCTTGCTGTCTGGGATTTAACTAGCGACAAAAATGAATGCAGTGGTAAGTTTTCGTGTACGCAATTACTGTTATGCAGTTCAAAAACGCAAATTATTTCATTTTCTGGTATTGGGAGGAATTGCTATTTTTGTGTAATGTCACAGTAAACATTTCCAGTATAAAGTAGGCCCCAACCACTTTATGCAGCCTAAATAGTGCTGCGTGGACATATTTCGTTGATTCGTTGATGAAAATAGTGTCGTCCTGCAGTTTTCAATGTCTATTTATTCAAATCCGAACTATATAATAAAACAGTTATGGAATCTTTTGATGGTGAATATGGTGATATTCACCAGAAAAATATCAATCTTGACGTCGGCTTTGTCTCCGTCAATATCGATTTTTTTTTCTAGTAAATGTAAATAATATACGGGACCAATTTGATATCAATTCATATTCACCACCAAAGAAGTCTATATTAATGACTATACAATCTAGCTGAATTGAATTATACAGGCTTTTATAGTCTTTTGAGACTTGTCATTTTTTTTTTATTATTATTTATTTTTGTTTGCTTGTCAAAAATAGCCTTGATTAGTCACTTATTCTATAGCAACAATATAAATTTTATTAAACGGCAGGATTCAGACAAGTTATACTGTATACATGGAAATTTTCGCCCCTGTTTTATTTTCGCCCATTTCGCCTACTTACAGGTAGGCGAATTTAAATCGGAGCAAATTCAATGAACACACTAGCATTTCTTAAACAGAACTGTAACTGGGGCAAAATTGTTTGCGAGTGTAAAAGGGGAAATAGCCCTGTATATAGTACATATATACATATATCACTTTTTCAAGACTTTTAATAAATGTGGGTAGATGTCGAAAATGTACTTTTTGAATGCTGTTTCTCGTTTGAATATAACGGTATACAAATTCACGACACACAATACCACTAGCGCAAGGGACAACTAGGCTGTAGAAAAAAAAGCATTGTATTAGCCTGCATGCTCTTAAAGAGGTGTCCTTTTTGTTTTCTTCCCATATGGATAAGAACTACTGCTTACAGATTCCTTGCAGACTGCTTCGAGTTTTGTGAAGAAAAAAATCCATACTTTGAAGAGAATCATTAAAAAATTTGTTAAATTTACATAAAGCTCTGTTATTTCAGTCATTTTAAATTAATATTGGGTTAATGCATGACAATTAAATCACTGCGACAACTCTGTGAAAGACAAGAGATGAATGTTAAGTCCATAATCTTAACACAGCCTTTTTTATATCTTTTTTGCGATGTTAAAGTACCGGAGTATTTTCCACAACAGAACACTAGTTTTTTTGTTTGTTTATCGTCTCTTTAAATATGCTCACTCATATTGAGACGCCACCACTTGCCGGTGGACTACTACAAATTAAGACCAGTGCTCGGCACTATCGACCATTGAGCGGTGAGGGATCTTATTCGTAACAACATGCACCTATACTCCAGCATGTTAGAGGTTCACGGCGAAATACTTTTGGCTTGGCGCCGCGTTACCTCTAGCATCCATTGTTAAACTTCTTGCCTCTGAAATCCCAAGTGGAAATAAATTGTTTTATTAAAAATTTAGGCTTTAAACATTAACGAATGACACGAAACAATAAAATATTCACTATTTGCGATAAAACTTACACATTAATCAATGTTAATCTCTCTTATTAGCGATAAATCCATTATTTTTAAAATCGAAGCAGAAATGAAATCAAGTCGTCTGTTTGTAATTCGGGAATGGAATGCAGAATATCTAACGAAACGAAACTAGTTTTCCACTAAGAAATCATTGAAATTTTCGTTTTCTGACTAGCAATCCGCAAAATTAGCATGAAGTCAAATCGAAAATAATTCTGGTGACAAATTGAAATCATGACGATTTTGATTAATAAACATTGATGCATACTGAATAAAGTGGATTTTAGGATTTCTTGTGACTTTTATAGCCCATGCAACACGTAGGTACCCAAGAATTACTTGTTTGCAGTTTATTTCACGCATTATATTTCCGCCCAAAATCTCAGGCGGAACGAGCTCGTTAGAAAATGGCTTTTGGATGTAAGAGTCCGAGGTATATAAGGAGCGTAGGGACGTTAACCGAGACTCTTACTTGTTGGAGTACATGCACCTACTTCTACATTGAACCTCGCTTAATACAGTCTAATCCGATGGACCGATCTCCACGTCGCACAGCGGATTCGAACCCACGACGTAAGGATCAACTCCATACGCTGCGACTCTACAGCAAACGCTGTACTCACTGCTCCACGCGGGCAACAAAATCCCAATAAAATTCGGTTAAAATAGAGTAAATAAACTTGCTATTAAGTGTTCTTGTCTGTGTTGTTAACAAAAATTAAATAAATCACAATATTTGTTCTCAACGCATGTGTTACACCACTAGAAAAGACTAGACTTTTTATCACCAACACTTAACAGGAGGCAGATGGAAGTAAGAGCTGCTATTAATGACACTTTGCAAAGAGTTGTGAATGCAAATTAGAATATAAACAATGTTTTCAGCATTTATCCTACGGCAAATCAAATTAGATAATACTGTATGGTGTACATATACACTGTAATTATTACACAGCTCGTTTCAGCCACTATGCAGACGAAATGGTTAACTATCTTCATTATCTCTGGACTGATAACCATTGTTAACACAAAGCGAGGTAAGGTCTTATTTAATATAGAAATTTATTTATTGCTATTACATGTGTATTAACATCTTTTTCAAACAAATAAATTGTAAATATTTCACACTTATTGTACAAGATTAGAAAGAAAAAAATATAGCGCCTTAATGAATCATGAATCTAAACGCCATTTTTTGCCAAATGTTATTAGTCCCCTACCGGTGAAACCGGAGGGAACTATAGGTGTCCTCTGATTCTGTCCGTCCGTCTGTCTGTCTGTCTGTCTAGCTGTCCCTCTGTCTGTGTGTCAGTCTGTCCCACTTGGTTTTCCGCACTTTTTTTTCTAAACGCTTGCAGATATTGACCTGATTTTATGTATGTTAGTATATCTTGATAAGGTTCAGATCAAGTTTGCATTTCGTTCCGCTTCAATAATTTTTGACGGAATTACGACCTGTTCAATTTTTCAGGGTTTTCTGCATTTTTTTCTGAACGCTTACAGATATTGAGCTGATTTTTAGTATGTGACTTTACCTTGATGAGATATAGATCAAGTTTGCATTTCGCTCCGCTTCATTGTTATTTGGCGTAATTATGGCATTTTCAATTTTAAATGGGAACCAGATTACACTTGCGGGTAGGGGACTTGTATTGCTCATGCAATACACTCAGAATTGTTTTTGTGCTTTTAACGGATTGCATTCCAAAAAAAGGTTAATTTAACTTTCTTCACTTCAAAATGATCTCTCTTAAGGCTTTTGTGTTTTTTTTTCTTTTGTAATGCATTTCTTTTTTTCTTCTGCTCTTTCTTTTCCTTTACATGTAGCTTTATTTTTCTTTTTATGTCGCTCAATGTTTGAAAATACACTGGTCAAGTTGTTCAAGGCTTTATTATATTATTAATATATTATTCTAGTTATTTAGCTGTTTGTTTTGATATTAGATATACTTTTACTCCATTTTTGTAGGAATGCCAATTATCATATAATACTTTGTAACAGGTTATTTGTAAATATTTTCGACCAAGTAGCCGGTTAATGGATGGAACAGAAATTATTTTTAATTTTATTAAACAATTTACATTATAAAAATTCCTTAAAACGCAATTTGATTGAAGAAGAAAAAACTTCACTACGATAATCCAAATCCATTACCCTACATTAACATTAATTTCTCCTCTCCACCGTCACGGTAGCTCAATCAGCAGAATGCTCGCTCCGTAATCTGAAGGTCGTGTGTTCGAATAATGGCCTAAGTCGACTAAGTCGATAAAAAACCTTAAAAACCAAGGCCACATGCCACGGTAGGCGTTGGCACACTTAAGAAACTTAACTGCGCAATGCTCCGGAGTACCGAGGACTATTATCTTAAAAGAGAGAAATATGTATCATTTCAAAAAGACATTTTTGCAAAAAAAAATAAATACAAGTAAATAAATAACCGTTCATATTTTTTTTTTTTGGTAACCGCTTACGATCTTTCCGACCGTTTAGTTGGTTAAGATTACATTGCTGCCATGCCCCGTTTTTTGCAATTGTTATGAAGTAACTTTCATTATATTTTTCTTATATCTTTTAGTCCCCTACGAAGGGGCTACAGATTTCCCCTCTTCTGTTTGTCTCTCTTGTTTGTCCGTCTGTCTATCCGTCTGACCCTCCGTCTGTCTGTAAGTCTGTTTCACTTGGTGTTCCGCATTATTTCTAAACTTTTCCTGATATTAGGATGATTTTTGGTATGCGCATGAACCGTAATGTATTACAGATCAAGTTTAATTGCATTTTGTTCCGCTTCGATGATTTTCAAATGATTAACAGCCGTTTTAATTTTTACTGGGTCCAGATTACATTTGCCGGTAGGGAACTAGTATTGCTGATGCAATGCTCTCAGAATACTTGTTACAAATAGATATGCTTCTTTTCAATAAAACGTAAGTGTTAACATCTTTAATTTCTAGATTACGTCTAGAAATATCTTTGGTCCCTAATCTAAAATGTTGTAATTAGCTATTAATTTAAAGCTTTTTGTCCGAAAGATTAGTCCTCTTCTTTGAGGACGTCCCGATAATTGAAAGTTGTAGGTATTAGGTACAGTCTAATGATATCCATTTCAAGGTTTAAGTAACATGCCAGATATTTCACCTTTTTGTTGCATTAGAGGTCTAAGGGTACCCCTTGTCTTACTCTTTTAAAATGTTTACTTACCTAGGTTTTTCATGTATACATGGAAGATGATAACTTCTTCATATTCAATATAAGTTCAAACATGGTCCATCCAACCACTATGCATAGTTGTAATATTTTAAAAATCCTCTTGATATACAGTAAACAATATAAACTAGAAAAAAATCAAATCTGTGTTTTATACAAAATCAATACAACAATTAAACCACACTATTGTGATATCGAGATAGTGTTAGAAAAAGAATGTAAAAAAAATATTGAATACAATATATTAATTCAGAGATATGTTATTCAAACTTTTTATATAATTTTCGGTTTCGGCTTTAATATGCATCCTATTGTTCTATTAACTTACACTAAGATATTATCTTATTACATGTATAAAGCTGTTCCTTTTTTTCAAAAAAAAAAAAAATTGCTCGAATACATATTATGAAAATTAGTTATTTGAATCTCCTATTTTGTTGTACATTCTCTGAAAATTTTATGAAATTCTCATTGTTTCTTTATTTGTTTTTTTTTCTGTTTTTTTTTTTTTTTTTTTTTTTTTTTTGTTTTGTTTTTTTTTTTTTTTGTTTGATTTGTTTTGTTTTGTTTTGTTATTTTTTTGTTTTTGTTTTTTGTTTTCTTTTTGTTTTTTTGTTTTTGTTTTTGTTTTTTTTATTTATTTTGTTTTTGTTTTTGTTTTTGCTTTTTTTTTTTTTTTTTTTTTTTTGTTGAGCGACTTTTAATTTATAGCGTAACTTTTTTTTGTTCAATTTATAGCGCAACTTTTTTTGTTCAATTTATAGCGCAACTTTTTTTGTTTAGCAACTTTTCAATTTATAGCGCAACTTGCTCGACCTGGTAAGCAAATTAGATAAAATCTGAAGCTATCAGCAGGCGCGGATTTAGGAATTTTTTTCGGGGGGGGGGGGGGGGTTCCATCCCAGTAAAAAAAAAACCAATCAGAATTTTCTTCATAAGTAAAAAAAAAAGAAAGAAAAAAAAAAGAAAAAAAAATTCCAAACGTAAAAAATACCTATTTTATGGTGATAGTGGTGGGGTTCATTTTCTAGGGGGTCCAATGTAATTTTTTATTTGCTTCAGTATATATTTAAATGACTGCAAATCCCCCCCCCCTTCGCCCCCCAGATCTGCGCATGAACAGTATTGTAAGCCGTTACTTATAGAAGGTTTGTCTTCGTTTTTTTGCTTTAGGCTTCATAGTATATTGTACCTGAGTAGTTCTTAAATTGTGATATAGATATACATGTATTTTAAAAAATAAAGTTTAAATCTTTGATGTAACAGCTGTTATTGCAGTTGTTTATCTAATGACAGTTTATCCGTGAAACAATTTTTTTTTTTTTTTGAATACGTCAAGGGAAAAAATACTCATGCAGTTAACACTTGTTCAGTGGTTCCATATCTTTTTGTGACACTGTTGTGGTCTCAATGTGATGTTAAATAAAGTTAACGCCTTCTAACGCTTTCGATTTTCCAACATTTAAATCGTAATTTTTTTTCGATTTGTGATAACTTCAGTTTGTTGTATTGAAGAGTTAAGAAAATAATCGCAGATTTTTTACTCATTGTGACGTCTTAATCAAATATGCACAAGAAAGCCGTCCAAATCATAAAAATTGCATACCTAGTTTTAACGACGTCAGCAAATCCGCGACCTACGTTAAACTGGTAATGCAGGATATGTTTGATTGATTGTTTTAGAAGATTTTTTCAAATAATGTACAAAAAATCATTATTTTTTTTAAAGACATACTCTTAAAATTGCATCGGTGTGTGCAACTAAATTGAGTAACTTACGTTAGCAAGTTATGAAAATTTGTTTGCACATCATTACAGTTATTGGACTAGATCTTTCAAAAAATTATATTTCAATGCTTATATTTACATTTTTTTTCTAAATCACGTCCTTACCTGCAAATGTGATTTATATTACAAAATCTTTGTTTTATCCTTTGGGTTAGTTACAATTATTGGAAGAACCATTCAAACAGCTTTTTCAATGTGAGCGTGGATTTTGATGTTCACTTATGACGTTGCACTTGCACTGTGTTCAACGTTTGTTACGTCAACATGAAATCCTTAACCTTTTGTCCTCCCCATCCGTGTTAAGGTGTACTGAATGCTGAAGTTTTCCACACATTTTAAAAGCAAATTACCCGAGGAATGTCAATATTACATAGTAACTACAGACTGAATATTCGTTGTACGTCTTTTAAACTGTGTTTGGTACATGAACCATCATTTTTCGAAAAAATGTTTTACAATTTCAAGTCTCCAACGTACTAAAAATATGTTTATTACGGAAGCGTATTAGTGCCATTTTGACACTTTTTATTTTTTAATTTCCACACTTTAATCTGTAAAATTTACACTTTAATGTGTAAATGTTAACTTCAATCTGTAAAGTTTACAGATTAAAGTGTAATATTTACACATTAATCTGTAAATTTTACCATTTAATATGTAAAATGTATACTTTAATCTGTAAAATGTACACTTTAATCTGTAAAATTTACACTTTAATCTGTAAATTTAACACTTTAATGTGCAAAATTTACACTTTAATCTGTAAATTGTTCACATTAAAGTGTAAAATTTACAGATTAAAGTGTAAATTTTACAGATTAAAGTGAAAATTTCACAGATTAAAGTGTGAAAAATGAAAAATAAAAAAGTGTCCAAGTGACACTAATACGCTTCCGTAGTTTATATACATATGCATATGTCTTTTTTTTTCAGCGTGCATATTCAATTCAACTGCATGTGAAAAGGGATGGGTTCAGTTTGAGAGAAGCTGCTATCAGTTTTTAAACAAAGCTGTCATTTTAAAAGAAGCAGTTGTAGGTAGAACTTAAGAGAGCAAAACATAATCTGAAAAGAATTGTTCATTTCGAAGAGGTTTTATTTCACAGCGATGCATCATAACGTTTTGTCGATTTAATGTGTATACTATTTTTTCTTCCTGACTGGAACAGAACTATTGCAACAGAGTTGGTGCACACCTTCTTGAAATAAAAAGTTCACAGGAAGAAAAATGGGTTGATCTGCAGCTTAAGATACGAGGTACATTTCGTTAAAAACAGTTTCTACCCGTCGGCTAAAATAGTTCATTTTATTATTTTTTTCAAACGTCTGTATTATTAGGTTTTCAATATGTTTGGATTGGATTGACGGATATTCTCAAGGAAAATGACTTTGTCTTCATCTCAACGGGGGGAAAACCGACATTTTCGAATTGGGGCAAAAACGAACCCAACAATGCTGGAAAGACAGAGCACTGTGTTGAGAAGTTGGCAGGATCAAGATGGAATGATAGAAGCTGCGACGTCAAATTTCCATTTGTCTGTGAGCGAAATTCTGAATAGGATATGTGCCATATATCTTGTGAATAAAATTTCAGTTTTTCTTTTGTTCTGTTTCAAATTAGAAATAAACACTCATGAGAATAATACATCAACAAATAAATATGAACAACATGCACAAAAATATACAAAAAAGTATTTTATAACCTTACTTGAAAAAGTCCAAATAAATACACTTAAGTGCTCTTCATACATGTATTTCGATATGCAATAACAGGATGAAGATAACGAACATTGATCGATGTCATAAAAGTCTACAGACAATACGTATTTGTGAGCAGGGCATAAAACACGGACCCCTGGAAATTCCAGAGGTGGGATCAGGTGTCTAAGGAGAGTAAGCATCCCCTATTGACCGGTCACACCCGCAGTGAGCCCTATGTATAGATCATGCACAACAGATTTCCCGTCTTATATAACTGCAACACGTTTCATATCTTAAAATTATCCAATTTATTTATTTTCTGCCTATGTCATATAACGGTGGTCCTAAATAAGAATATGAGATTTTACCTTTTCCCATAGCCAAGGTACAATAGAGAGACTCAGCAGTCAATCTGTTCTTGAAATTAAGTCGTCTAATTTGCAGAACACAGTATGGATGATTCTCTGTAAGGCTGTTTTTCGGCCTTAGATGAAATCAATAAAAAATGTGATTTAGTCAACTCATTGCCTCTACTTATGATTTGGTGTTTATTTTTCAACATCGATCACAATAGTTAAGTAATAAAGAGATAAAATATGGCTGTAAAATAAGGAAAAGGTGAGGGTAGGTCTACTTAAATCATGTTTAAATGCGTCTCTTTAAATTTGACTGTTCGAAATTTATTTTATTTAAAAAAAATCTAAGCAAATGTTTTATTGAAGGATAAGATTATTTTGTTTAACATAAATAATGTTGTTGTCAGGTTTTGTAAAAATTGAATGCAAATCGTTACAACATGCACACCGCAAGGTGCTAATAAATGTTAAAATATCATTTATTTTGATTAGATGTATATTGTATAAAGTGTACATTGTTATTGTGCGTTTTTAAAGATGTTTCACTTATTTTTCGCATTTCAAGCATATATAAGAAATTTAGTATGGAAGAGTTTATTTCAAGATTGAACTATTAATATAAATGATGTATATAAAATGCTGAACACATTTTAAATGAGTTTGCTAATGACTGAATAAACATTAATAAAAACGATATTCATTAACATGCGGGAAGAAAATATAAAGTCCTATCTGACTTATCAATAAGCAGTCAGTGTAGAAATATTAAGAATAATACTGGAATATTAAGTGAAAGAAAATCGTAAAATTGCTTTGCTTTTATTTAATCACTAGCGTAAAATATTTATAGAATTAATTGAAAGAAAATTGCTATTTAAGCAATAATTTACAAATGCGATACATATTAAAGACAAGACCTTTGCGTCTTACTCCTCCACGGACATAAAATACATCGATCCTGTGTCACTCATCTGGAGAAAATATGTGTTCCTCTGAAAGGTCGAGGTTAAAATTATATCATGACGTATTTTTTTTTCATGTAAGTTATTCCATATCTATTAAAATTAATTACACTACTATAAATAGTTAATACCACAATAAAACAAACGTGTACCTTTCCACTGCGGCTTCTGTCAACTCTATTGCATAATCTAATTCATAAGTACTAAAAAAATAAATATATCTAAAGAAGTAAAACTGCATTAAGCAATAAAGATTCATACCATACAGATGGTAAAAAATGTTTCTATATTTATAGATGTCAATTTAGTGACACTTGTAATAATGTGTATAACAAGATTTTCTGAACGGTAGGTTCATGACATTTAGTTTTGCAGTTCTTTGATTCTTGAATTTTCAGAAAATAATCAATATTTTTCGAGTGAAAATCGTATGAGTTCTAATACATGTGGTTCTCACTATGTCAACTGGTAATTGTAGCCAAACTGAAAGTTTAAAATATAAAAAAAAAATCGAAATAAAGGTGGTTATGACATGTGTAGGAATTACCAAACGCACTAACCCTCTTAAGTTTCTACATTGTCCTAATGCTAATATGGATCAATAGTTCGTCACATTGAGACTATATATCATATTTAATACAACAGAATCAATATCCAAAAAACAATTATCGATAGATTTGATTATTAATTTGATAATTCACGCAATCTTTGAGAAAAAAAATATTACTTGTAATTTTGCAATCGCTTTAGGCCGGAAAACAATTTTATAGACCTTTTCTCTTTTATAAAAATTAAAACAAAAAAAAAAAGAAAAAGAAAAAATAGTGAAAATCAATTTTTTTTTATCATTATCCCAGAATGACAGCAGTTGCTTAAATTAATGCATATGTGCCATATCTATATTTTGTGCAACTTACTTTAGTTTTCATTTTTTCTGAAGTTTACAGGTTTCTTTTAAATGAGGATTATTTCAGCAATAAGATTGTCAAAATCAGAATTCCATTCTAATATTACAAAAGAAAACTTGAGCACTTCCTTATTAGCGAGCGTTATTTTAAACTTAAAGATATAATCAAAATAAAGTTACGTTAAAGGAGCGAGGAAGTTTCAATAATGGCGATGGTGTGGAAAACTTTTTTCTTGTCCAGTTTGTTGTTAACGAGTTCTCAGTATATACATTCGAATGAAAAAGATCAGTGCAACAGTAATGCAAACGTATTGTAACGAAACCGAGGGTATAAGGTTATTACTTAATCAGTTAATCGTGGGCCGCTGTTGGTTACTGGTAACTGGTCAAGGTTGAAATGGTTATCCACAAAGTTTATATACAATCGGAATAATGACCAATTTTTGGTCCACTGAATAATTGGCGAAATGACCAATTTTTAGTTCACTATAATATCTGCACTAGAACCGTGACGAATAACACGTTGTAAAGTTTATGATATTTATTAAGACGATCAAATGGTTCAATTATAAGCACAATGATAAACCTGGTAGGTACAACGTTATTTGGTTAATACAAAGATGACGAACCAATGGTCAATCCAGGACGTTTCTACTCTGAATGACTCTTCATTAATGATTTCGTATACATAGACTTGGTACTGTTTGTACATACCACTGTCTTACACCTGAAGTATACGGAGTCGCTACCCACTGCAGACTGACTTCTAAACACAAAACAGCTGTCTTTTATAGACAAAAGTTGTTATGATGACGTATAAACGTCAGATACCAATAACGTCACAATCAATATCTAATTTGTAAGTTAGCGGGTTTTGACCACTAAAATTACTTAATAACGTTGTACCTATATAGAACATATACAACATAACGCTTTGTAATTACAATACATAAATCAAATTGATAAAGTTCAAATAATAAATCATTGTTCAATTCTTTCGTTCATTGTTCATTGACATATATTTTAGTAGTTTATATACATCGGGTTCAGGGTCCGTTTATTCAGAACTTGTCAACAACAGTTAATCCGAATTTCACAGGTAAACTTATCGGAACGTAACAATACCCCCCTCTTAAGTCGAAACGTCCTCGTTTCGGGGTGCTTAGTCAATCAAGAATTTTTTTTATATCTTTTAGAGATGCACGTTACAGAGATAGATTCTCATCTGCTTCACAACGGAACAGCTTCATCTGGTCATGATGCACATATTTTGGTTTCTCGGCTTTAGACTTTTTCACTTTGTATATCAAATCGGACACAGCACGTAACACTACATAGGGTCCATTCCAATGAACCTGAAGTTTGGGACATCTTCCTTTGGTCCTTGATTTTGATGCAATCCACACATGTTGTCCTGGGGTGTACTGAATCTGGTTTGCCTTGGTGTCATATTTTCGTTTCTGGTTCTCGTTCGCGAGTATCATTTTTCTGCTGGCTTTCTCATGGATGTCCTCTAAGTTGGTTTTCATCTTGTCGACGAACTTATGGCAGATTTCAGGACAAGTTTCCCATAGATTGTGACCATAAACAAGGTCAATAGGTACTTTTATCTCTGTTCCAGAGTTTAATCTTGCTGGACTGTATCCTGTGGTCTCTTGAACTGATGATCGGTAGGCAAGCATCAGAAATGGCAAAACTTCGTCCCAATTCTTTTGGTTAGGTTGTACATACTTGCTTATCATATCTTCTAGCGTTCGATTGAATCTCTCTAGTAGGTCATCACTCTTCAGATTGAATGGGGTTTTTCTTCTTTTCTTTATTTGTAACATCTTACACAAGTCTTGAAACAACTTCGACTCAAACTGTTTGCCTTGGCCAGTATGAACCTGGAGTGGGACTCCATACCTTGAAATAAATTCATCTACAAAAACCTTTGCAATGGTTATTGCCTCTTGGTTTTTGACCGGATAAGTTTTTATCCATCTGGTGAAATAATCCGAAATGATAACAACATACTTGTTACCCTTCTTGGTCCGTGGTAAAGGACCAAGGATGTCAATGGCCACTCGTTCCAGTGGTTTCCTAACTAAATACTGACCCAGTTTTCCTCTGGCTGCACTTGCTGTATTCTTCCTTGCTTCACAAAAGGTACAACCTCTGATATGCTTCTCAACATCGTTTTTGTAAGATGCCCAGTAGAACCTTTCTCTTATTTTCTCGGTAGTTTTGGAGATTCCCAAATGTCCACCCGTAGGGTCGTCATGTACCAACTTAAGTATTTCTTTAACACATGCTTTTGGTACCACCATCTGGTAAAAGATTTGTTCATTTTCTTCCCATGTCCTGAAGAGTACTCCATTTCTTAATATCAGCCGGTTCCATTGTGACCAATATGTCTTAAGCTCTGTTGGTTCCTTTGCTATTTTCTGCCATGTTGGTCTGTTGTCCTCTGTCTTCCACTTTATTATTTTGGCTAATATTGGATCTGAATTGTGCTCCTTTTGTAGGTCTTCTTTCGTCTTTGTCATGTACCAAATTCGAGTGTCTGTTTGGTCTTCTTTTAACTTTATTACTAGATTATCATCGTCCTCTTTGGTCTGGTCGTTTGTCTCCTTCTTATCACAGTAGTTACAAGGTGCACATGGTCGATGATTTAGTCCATCACTATTATC